GTGGACAGCTTCTCAGATCTTATGGAGGAGCCTACTGGACTTGTCCATAGGCAGACCAAACATAAGATTGAGATCCTGACCAGCAAGGGTTGGATTAGGCCCAACACATCTGAGTTTGGGGCACCAGTCCTCTTTGTTCCAAAGGGGAATGGTGAGTTCAGGATGTGCGTGGACTACAGGGGTCTCAACAAAATCACGAGGAAGTCGACAGAGCCCCTTCCTCGCATTGATGATCTGTTGGACATGGTGCAGGGATGTACCATCTTTAGCAAGATCGACCTCAAATCTGGCTATCACCAGATTGAGATGGTTGAAGGCGATGTTCACAAGACAGCCTTCAAAACCAGATATGGTACTTATGAATACCTGGTTATGCCATTCGGTCTCTGCAATGCGCCAGGCACCTTCCAAACAGAGATGCATCGCATACTGAGGCCTTACCTGGACAACTTCGTAGTTGTCTACCTTGATGATATCTTGGTATTCAGTCGTCCTGTCCAGGAGCATGCGCAACATCTGGCTCTGGTCCTCCAGGCCTTGCGTGCTAACCAGTATAAGATCAACAGAGAGAAATCCTCTTTTGGGGTTCCCTCTGTAGTTTATCAGGGTTGGCTCCTGAAGCAATGAAAGTTGCTGCAATTCAGGACTGGCCGCGACCTGCTAACATTCGTGATGTCCGGTCATTCTTGGGACTTGCATCGTATTATAGGAAGTTCATCAAGAACTTCTCTTCTATTGCAGCTCCCTTGACTGATCTCACAAAGAAAGACACTTCCTTTCTTTGGACATCAGAATGTCAGGAGGCTTTCACACGTCTCAAGGAGGCCTTGATTCGTGCCCCTGTTCTGAAGCTACCTGACCCTACTCTGCCTTTTGTGCTTACTACTGATGCTAATCAGTATGGTGTAGGGGCGGTACTTCAGCAGGATGATGGGAATGGTTTGCAGCCTATTGAGTACATGAGCAAGAAGATCAAGACCAAAAATTTGTAGGACTCTACCTATGAGAAAGAGCTTTATGCTCTTGTGTCAGCGCTCAAGCATTGGAAGCACTTTCTCCTGGGTAGGCACTTCAAGATCTTCTCGGATCACTCCACCCTGCAGTGGATGAAGTCCCAGGGAGAGCTGAATGACAAGCTTGCTCGCTACGTTCAGTTCATTGACATGTTTGACTTTGAACTGAGACACAAGAAGGGCTGCTAGAATCGAGTAGCAGATGGCCTTTCTCGTAGGCCGGATGCTCTTTTCTTGATCTCCTTCACTCACTCATTTGGAGAGAGGACACGTCAGACATTGCCCAGTTGCTGCCCCAGGATGAGATCTTTGGGCCTATTGTGAGGAATCTCCAGGATGATCCTGCCTCTGAACCAGAATATACTCTGGTTTCAGGCCTGCTGTACACATGCAGCAGAGGTGAGGAACGCCTGTGCATTCCCCAGGACCGCAAGCTAAGGACACTTCTGATGTCAGAGTGTCATGATGCTCGTGGTCATTTTGGTGCCCTTAAATCTTATGCAGCCCTGTCGCAGCGCTTCTTCAAGAAGGAGATGAGGAGTGACATGCTGCACTATGTGGAAACCTGTGAGTTATGCCAAAGGAACAAGGTTGTACGTCGATCTCCCCTTGGCCTACTCAAACCACTACCTATTCCAGATGCACCTGCACAATCAGTGTCTTTTGACTTTACTGACTTGGATAGGACTACCCCTCGTGGGATGCGTCAGGTCATGGTATGTGTGGATCGGTTCTCCAAATATGCAGAGTTCATCCCCTTACCAGCTGAGGCTCGTGTGCCAGCCGTTTAGGCGGCGTTTGCTGACAGGTGGGTTATAAATCATGGACCACCCACCTCTATCGTCAGTGACAGAGATCCTCGGTTTTGCAGCAAGGAATGGCAATCCTACTGTAGGGATTACCTTCATTCACGCTTGGATCTGACATCTGGTCGTCATCCTGAAGCCAATGGTCAGGCTGAAGTGATGAACCAGATTCTTTTCCAGCAGTTGCGTTCTGTGATCAGCCCAGCTCAGCAGGACTGGGATCTCCATTTGAGTCGTGCACAACTTGTGTATAACACATCTGTACACTCCTCTACGGGCTTCACACCCTACCGGTTATACTGGGGTCGTGAGCCACGGCAGCCTCTCGATGACATCATCGACAAGGCTACCCCTACGCTGACACCTGGAACTGCAGAGTTCATCAGGCATTATCGTGTGGACATAGAGCGCGCCCGTGCTAACCTGTTGAAAGCCCAAAAGGCTATGATTCAGCAGGCTAACAAGCACAGGCGTCCTTCTACTATTCGCACAGGTGACTGGGTGCGGGTACTCAGTTCTGAGCTGTAGCGAGAGGAGGATATTTCGCCTAAGCTGCTGCCACGATACATGGGTCCATGGCAGGTCTTAGATACAGTGGGAGCTGATCCCTTTGGACCATCCTATACAGTGGATGTCTCTCTGCATCTACAAACCTACCCTGTCTTTCATGCATCTAAGCTGTTGCCATTCACGCCAGCTGATGCATTCCCAGACAGGCCTCCTCAATTCTGTCCCCCATCCCTGGCAAAGGGTATGAGGTCGAATCTGTGGAGGATAAGTCAGGGACAGGTCCAGATAAGGAGTACCTTGTGAAGTTCTTGTACCAGCCACACACTGAAGACCGCTGGTTTACTTGCAAGGAACTTCTAAAGACAGCCAAGTCTGTAATCCTCAAATATGAGGCAGCACAGAAGGGAGTATCCCTTTGGCGCTCTGCATGCCTACGCCCCTAGCTCGGAGGTCCTCGCTCCGGGGGAGGGTAGCTCTGCAATGACTTGCTGTTTTCTGGTCGCCTGTAGCCTCTCTCTGTCGAGGCTGTACTATAGGTAGGACAGATTCCAATTTTGTTTGGCTGAGGGCTAACCGAGAGACCTACCTGTGAGGGAAATTCGTGAGGGACATATCTGCAAATTCGGGAGAATACAGGCCCGGTACTAACCGGATTCCCTACAGCTACCCTAACTGCGGATAGCAGGCCCGGGCTACCCCTAGGACAGACGGCCCCTAAAGGCCTATTCTGAATAGACGGTACTATCGCCTATAGCCGGGTTCGGTAGAGGCCGAGAGGCCGAAACAGAAACGGTACCGGTCAGTCAGTCACTCCGGTCTAGGTCGAGTCTAGGCTAGATGTAGTCTATAGATAGATTGGGCACATCGGTTCAGGGCTTTTGGCAGTTGGTACCGAGTACATCACTGCTGTGCTACGCGTGAACCGGAAGTGGTGACGGCTCAGCGTGGAAGGAGACGGGCATAGCCAGACCTTCGGAGTGCAGGCCATAGCTGGGACCTGCGCTGTACTCTGCCAGCACGCAGGGGCTGACAGAGGTCTGGGTTATCGAGGTCTGCTGGAGGCGAGAGAGATTGGTGCCTTGCTGGACCCTCCTCCGGATGGGGTCCCAGGGGGTTTGCGCTGCAGCCATAGCTGCAGCTTTCTTCCTCAGAGATCATCTTGTCAGGGTTTGGTGGCGCTGCTGCAGACTTCCACCCGGGAAGTTTCCACCCGGGAAGTCTTCCGACACTTCGTCATCATCAGATACTGTGGCGCTGGTCTTCTTCTTCATCCTCTGAGTGGCACTTAGCCTCAGAGGCCTGTTTCAGGGTGGCGCGGCCCCCAGGACGCTGTATTTGGGTGGCGCTTGATGTTTCAGGGACTCAGGGGGTGTTACGGGTGCTAGTCAGGGTTGGGGAGTGAAGCGCTGCTCATTTCTGAGCAGCGCACTGTAGTACTGAAGTTATCCTGACAATTCGAGACTCTGAGTTTAATAAACAGTGTAAAACTGTGTTTGGACTATCATCGTTTCATTGTTTCCTGGATGTGATCTGCTCGGCTTTTCTCTATGACTGGTTGTGAGGATTGATTGGAGTGAATTGCACTTTCAGTATACCCTGTCATATCGCATGGTCAAGTCCTCCGCTGTGTTTTATCTCTCCCTGTGCGGTGTGATACTCCTATCCTCTCCCCTTCCTTCTGTGTATGTATGGGCATACCTGGAAGTCCATGTGTGTGAGTGTTGGTCATCAGACAACAAACAACCAGAATCATAACAGTTGTTTCCGTTTCCATGTAGATTTTCTTCTGAGAAGACAGAATAAAGGAGACTGAGAAACTCCTTCCCTGCGGTGGCTGATTGATACACAAATTCCAGATCCACAATTCGGATCCGGTTGGAAAGAAAAAGAGGCCAAGTGACACCCTCTTGCAAAGAAAGAAAATCTTGCTAAAAGAAAGGAGATTGTGCTGCTGTCATGCGCTCACCAGGCTTGGGGTAAAATGGTCTCTGCCTTTGTGCCATTTCCAAAAGATCACATGTAACATGGGGGCGATTACAAGTTGAAAGTCGAAACAGATGTTCATGTCCATGCTAAATTTTGATTGAAAAGTGACATGCCCCTTAATCGAGTGTTGGCCTGTGCTACCAGCGGGCCTAGCTCAGTTGGTACACTTCTCAAGTGTTGAAATACAGACCCAAGTTCAAATCCAGATGCAGTCGGATGAACAGAGAAATAATTCTGAACTAGCTGGGGCCGGTCAGTTCAATGATGATCATATCTAAAGGCTATCACCCGTTTAAAAGAAAGAAGTTTTGACCCTGGCTATGCAGGATTTGAGGCTGGCACTCTCAAGTGACTAAAGTCCGCTGTGGGTTTTCCGTCTTGCAGGACTGTTCCTACACAACCAATGGATAGAAAGTGGAATGTTTGGACTGCTAGCATTCCACTTGGCAGCTGTGAGTTGCCACCGTTGGTGGATGCACACGGTCAAATAGTTCAGATTATTACGCACAAACTTGGAGGAGTGCGATCAGGTAAAAGAGGGAGGCCCGGGAAAGCTTACCTTGTGCAATGTGCCTCTGGTTTCAAGATGTTGGTCGATCGTCCAGCCCTGAAGGAGTTTGAACCAGCTCTTCTTGCAGATTATGACCGAATGCTCAGTCGCAGGTAAATGTTGTTTCCTTTCAGGGGAGGATGCGGTGCCAGCAGGTAGTAGAAATGCGTTGGGGAGTGGCGGCCAGATTGTGGGTTTTGGTGGGATGGGATTTGGGATGGCCAACTTGTGCTTCTTTGCGAATTTTTCGAACTCGTGACAATGGTCGAGTTGTTTTTCAATGTGTGATTTTACGAGCTTGTGACTTCCTTGTTTCATCATTGCTTTGAGCCTCTATTTGCATTCGTGATAATACTGTTTTCCTGGGTGTATCCCACATGTCTATCCCCATGCGCAGGCTGGTTTGCTGGTCAGTCCAATCATCGTGAGCTTGCTAAAGGGATACTACAGAGGGGCATGGAGGTTGCTTCCCATTTTTCCATTGTTTATCAATCTGATCAAGAGGCTGGGGGCATTTCCTTTGTCAGTCGTCCTTTTGGAACCGAGAGTGCCCTAGCACCTGACTAGGTGCCCATTGGACAATTTAGTAATTTACATATTCTTCATGGGCCTTCGGGTGCGAGGCATTTGTGAAGGAGCCAATCACTAATCCACTTTTTTTATTCCAGTTGATTTTTTTGTTTTTCTTTTCCAAAGGTCTTTTTTTCATTAATAAGACTGGAAACCGGGTCCGTCATCCCTTACATCAGAAGCATGCTCAACGCTTCGCTACGGTCAATGGATAAAAGGATCCCGAGACCGCGATATTGATTACATTCTTTCTTGAGAAGGATGAACTACCGCTCCACCCCTGCTTCCTTTAAACTTCGACCCCCCCCACTTCTGGGACTGTTCATACTCATTTATCACCACTGCTAGCTCTCGATTTGAATCTGAAAAAAACAGTTAGAATAACCTCTCTCAAGGCATACTCACACTAGCACTTTCCAGAATGCATCTGACTGCAATTATGCCCAGCCCTGAATGAATCTGACTGCAATCACATCCAGAGCTTTGTGGGAGAACCCCTAGTGTGATTATACCCTCAGTCCACCTCTGTGAGCTGTTGGGATTGCTAGTAGTAACCTGGACATCTCAGACCTTTCTCAGATCTTGCCAGCCCGTCGAAGTATCTTGAGACTATGGCATTGATTGCTTCCTTTCTTCGGAAGAATATACCACTTCTGGCCCCCTGTTGATGCCTGTAGTCCTTGATGTTCCTCCCTCCTCTATGGTCTCTAACTGTTACTTCTCCCAGCATTCTCTGGCTATCATACAAGGCTTCCTGACCTGGAGTGTTAGGCCCTCAATTTTGTCTAGCTGTTGTGTGCTCTTGTCTAATTTACTCCTCTTATAGGTTGAAATTGGCCACTGGCCATGTGGGGAAGGTTCCTGAGTATGACTGTGGGTCGACTACCTGACCTGGGGCTTCTCTCTCTGTACTGTCTATGCAAATAATGTCTAACTCTATCTTCATGAAATTCTGGCCACTTCGTTAAAGTTTGATTGGGTAAGTAGAAGCACCTTTATTGCCTGTATAATGTAATGGGTTAGACTGAAGCTTCCGTGTCTGTGGGTCGACTACATGACCTGGGGTTTCTCTCTCTGTACTGTCTATGCATATAATGTTTAACTCTATCCTCATAATTTCTGGCCGTTTCGTTAAACTTTGATTTGGTAACTAGAAGCACCTTTATTGCCTGTACAGTATACTGTAATGGTTAGACTGAAGCTTCCGTGTCTCCTCCTACTTTGTGTCACTTCATAGAGTCATCGAATTCTCAAAAAAAAAAAAGAAGAAGAGAGAGAGAGAGAGAGAGAGAGAGAGAGAGAGAGAGAGAGNAAGAGAGAGAGAGAGAGAGAGAGAGAGAGAGAGAGAGAGAGAGAGAGAGAGAGGGAGGGAGGGAGAGAGAGAGAGAGAGGACTTTGCACCAGGTAGCGTGTTTTGTTCTGTTCTCTTTTTTTCTTCTCTGGTTGAGCCATCCATTTATGGGGACTGCTTTGTACATGATTAACCAGAGTACGCGGGCTAATTTAGCTGGACACGTTCACATTATTAATGACCAGGGAAGTTTGTCTGGTAGTGTGATGTTTGGTACTTCTTCTTTTACCCATCGTTTTTGCGGGAGGTGTGATATTGATTGAGATTTAGTGTTGACTCTATCCTACTTTGGGGGTATTTTCGGTTTGGGCGTGTCGTCTACCATTCGGTGGGGTCGATTTCTGCCCATTGAGTTTGTAGTTTTGGCCTGTAGACTCTGTTGTTTCCCTCATCTATGACTCGTATTCTCTCAGAGTGAAGTCCGAAAAGTAGCTTGACGGGTTGCGTGCCCTCTTCTGCCAGGAAGATTAGGCATCGTTGAGGGAGGCTGCATGCAGTAAGCAGGGAGAGTGTCAAGAGGGGGTCAACAAGATGATTTGCGCATGTTAGGGGGAGAGAGACTGCAGAAGCTGTGGAGGTGATTGCACCTTGCTCACATGCGTTGGGAGAGGAGAGGGACTGTCAAGGGTTGCCACAAGTTGATTTGCACTCCTTGTGAGAGGATGCGAGACTGTTAACTGAGGTCACATTTTTATTGGCATGCATTGTGGGAAGGAGAGGGGATGTCAAGGAGGGTGGCAAGGTTATTTGCATGCATGAGTGGAGAGGAGGGAAACAATTGACAGGGGTTTCAAGGTAATGGAGCGGACGAGGGAGACTTTGTCAATATGCAGGACGGGGAGACGGCAGACTGTTGAGGGAAGTCAGTGCATTGCACACAACTTGAGGAGGATGTCACGAAGTGAGGGAGTGTTGCAGAGTGCTCTGCACACAGCACGGAAGGGAGGGAGATTGTTGACGGGATAGTAGGAGGGTTTGCACATACTTGATGCAGCGAGGTAAGCAGGGTTGCAGGATGCTTTCCATGCATTTAGGAGGGAGGGAAACTATCAAATAGATTTGTTCAAGAATTTGTACACACGTGAGCAGGGCGAGGGGGTCTCAAGGGGTGTTACAAGATACTTGGCACTTGCAGAGGGATACTTCTGCTGGATGTTTGGGGATAGGAAGTACTGAGGGGAGTTGCAGGATGCTTTGCACACATGGGGGTAGTGAGGGATGGAGACTGTTGAGTGGCTTGCACGTACTTTGTGTGAGTGGATGGGTGTTCAGGATGCTCGAGCCAGCTGAGGGAGGGGAGGAGCCTAGAGTTGAACAATGCTTTGCACATATCCGCAGAGGAGGGGTGGAGGGGTGCTGCAAGGTGCCGTGCATGTGTTAAGGTGAAGGGGGAAGGTTGTCAGAGGGGTTGCATGATGCTGTCCATGCTAATGGTTGTGTGAAGAGGGAACAGGTAAGCTTGCAACCTCGCGGCTGGCCTCACACGACTTCCATCGATAGGATGAGAAAAATCGAATGAATCTACCGCTAGAACAGGGAAATATCCACTGCCACGC